AAATTTTCACTTCATATTTTCCTGTTCCCCAAATCACCTTTAATTAACATGCTTAATTTAACTTTTAGAAATGCTTTTCAGGCACTAGGGATTAAACTCGGGGTCTTCACACTGAGCTATATCCCCGGCCCTTTTATTTTTCAGTTTGAGACAGGATCTCCTTAGGTCACTAAATTGCCCAAGCTGGACTCAAGCTTGTGGTCCTCCTGCCTCAGCCCCCCAGAGTGCTGGGACTGCAGGCTTACAAGGGCAAGAAACAGGAACACACAGCTCCTCCTGTCCCAGGGCACCACGAGCACTTCCACAGTGTGGTGATATGGGCTGAGCATTTTCTGACTCGTGACTCCTGTTCTCAGGTTCTGACTAGTCTGGGAGCTGCCAACACATCTAGGGATGGCGGACTTGGGTCACTATAAGCAGCAAGTAATTCCTGGACACAGTGGCGTTCTCTACTTCAATGTCCACCAAGCTTGCCTGCTAGCATCCCTATCCTACGGTCACTGTCACATGCTCACAGAAAGGCCGTGGAAAGTCGGGCTCCTCACCTATTCAAACTGCGCAGCCCAACAAGGACGCTGGGCAGTGGGCGCCAGACCTAGGTCCTGGCCTTGCCATGGGGCACCTTGCAGTTCACTGGGCCACACCTTCTCTCCTGGCCCAGGCTACCTAAGGCTGCTCTAAAGGGCACTCCCAGACCCAGCCTTCCCTGGGGATCCCTCTAGGTTTGAACCCTGAACCAGAGACCCACACCCTGTACGAGCCCCAGATCTGCTGAGAACATCAAGGCAGCTAGACTGGAGACCGCCTTACGCACCAAGCTGCTTCCTCTAAATACTTGGTAAGTCAGACAAGTGCAAGGGCTCAAGCCCTGGCCTCCTTTCCTCTACCCCAAACTCTAGGGGGGCATTATTCCCTACACCCCAAGTTCTAAGCATTTGATAAAGACAACCCAAGTAGCGGCATCCTTGCCTAGAACCACACCTTCTTCCTCCTCTTTGGAGATCTGCAATGAGATCTGCTCACAGATATCCACCTGCCCAGCTGAGGGACACTTCTTCTCTTTTACCCAGGCAGAGGAGAGTCCAGGCCTGGTTCTGAACAGTAGGCTATAGACAGCGGACATCTGGGGGCCCTGTGTCCCCGAGAGCCTGTTCTGCCTCTCCCCTGTCTTGCCCAATCCTATCTGTTCAGGATCCTTGCAAAATGTTCCACTAGAGCTGGGGTGGACCCTTGGCTTCTTCCTGGTCTGTAATGTGCATAGAACAGAGGTTGAGCCTGTAATCCCACCACTCGAGAGGCTGAGGCAGGAGGATTGCTGTGAGTTCAAGGCCTGCCTGGACTGCTCAGTGAGTTCAAGGCCAGCCTGAACCACATAGTGAGACCCTGTCTCAAAACAACAACAAAAAGAACAGAGATTGAAATCTAGCATAGTGGTACATGCCTGTAATCTCAGATACTCTGGCAGGAGGACTGCTAGTTCAAGAACAGACTAAGGAGCACAGCAAGACCCTGTTTCAAAAAGGAAAACAGAGGTTGCATGTACCTCTAAGTCTTGGAATGGCTTATAGTGAAATTCTCTCTAGGGTTTTGCTTGGTGGAGAAGAGCACCTCACCCCATGAAACATGCACACATTCTGCAAAGGCTGCTCTGAGACTTGGCAGCTTCAGCAGCTCTCTCTGTACTTTTGGTTCAGACAAGGACACATGGCTGATCACATTCTACCATTTAACTTCGTGTGGAATTCAGGGACATCTGAACTCAATCTGCTTTTCATTAATTCACACCCAAGTTCATGTTGGCAGGAGGGGCACTGGACGCTCTGACCCACTCAGAGTCCAGGCCTGGAAGAAACAGGTTTGAAGTAGAACTGAGGACCTGCAGTCCCCAGCTGCTGTCTCCTGTCCTCCCAGGACCTGGGTCACGGGCACGGCGGCCCAGGCCTGACCCATGCTCACTCTCAGGGACCCAGTGGACTCCCTCTGCAGCTAGAGGCCACTTCCTCTCCAGTGGCCATGAGGGGTACGAAGGGAACACTGCCCACACACACGCAGGTGCAAGAAGTCCAAGCCCAGAATCAGCACAGCAGAGTGAGCAGCCTCCTGACCCCCGCTCCCTGGACGGCCGCCATCTGAGGACTGTGGGGTCTCTGCTGCCCAGTGGGCCCCAGGCTTCCCACATGGGTAGAGGCTGTCGTCGGTCACCCCCACTTCTGGGAAAGGTGTGGACGTCATGACGACCTGCAGTCAGAAAAATGGGAGCTCAGCATCTGTCTCCCCTCCTTCCATCGGTGACAATGCTTTCCCACGGCCCTGGATTCCCCCAAATGGAATGAACGTCACGGCTGTGGTCCTCGGAACTCATGGGACAAAAAAGCCCTTGTGAGTAGGCGTGGACACTGTACCCCACTGTGCTATGTAGTTCCAGAAAGAACCACGCTGTAGGCTGTGGTCTGAATGTTTGTCTTCCAAAAATGCATGTTGAAATCCCCACCCCAAGTGTGACGGTATCAGGAGGCAGGGGTCTCTGAGAAGTAATGCGTCATGCGGGTGCCCTCATGACTGCGACTTCTGCTGTTACCAGTGAGACCCCCAGCGAGACGCCTGGTACCTCTTGCTGTGTGAAGGTGCATCTGTGAACCGTCAAGCCCTCACCACAGACGGCATCTGCCAGCACTTTGGTTTTGACCTCTCAGCCTTCAGAACTATGAGGAATAAGTTCTGTAGCTTTTAAGATGGTCTATGGTATGCTGTTACAGTAGCCAAAAAGGGGCTCTGAGCCTGCACACAGGCCCTGAGCGATGTGAAAACCAATGCCAGTGAGCTAAGGCTCCCAAACAGCCTGAGGCACTGGGGCTGGGATGCAGGTTGAACCCCAAGTCATAAAAACGCAGTTCTCCGTGGCCAGCTGTACATCCACAGTGGCTGCTGGGCCACGCTGGCCGGAAGGGCTCCCTGTGCTATTTGGTTGTAAATTATCAAGGAGAGCAGAGCCAGGCAACCGTCTTCTCGCGGAAGGGAAACTGCGCATGTTACTTCATTTCTTTGAGTGTTTCTGCAGCAACGAAATGGCCTGCAGAAAAGGTACCACTTCCGGTAAAAATGCATGCTGTGCAGGCTCCTCTGTGTGTGTGTGTGTGTGTGTGCGCGTGCGTGCGTGCGCACATGTGTGGGCTCATGCATGTAGAGTGTTTCTCCATCCAGAAGGTACCAAAGGCGGGCCGCCATGCCCAGCCCTTCCAGTCCTGCTGTCACTTCAGCGCACAGCCAGGTAGTGAGTGTGAGTGGTTCTCTGTGTGCCTCCTGTGGACGTCACCCCTCTGTGCCCACCCCGACAGGAGCTGCAGGCCCAAGCTCCACACTGACAGGCCATGGGCAAGCCCACCTCCATCTACTCCTCTTGGGGACAGGCCCTGCTCCCAGCTGCGGTGACACTCCCTCTTGCCTTTCCCTGTGCTCAGGAGAGTATCTCCGAAGGTGCAGAGGTCCAGAGAGCCTCGGGGAAGAAGCTGGAGGCCCTGGGCTCCCCAAGGGGCTCCCCAGGCAAAGGCTGCTTTCTCCGCAGGCTGGTGCCACACAGATCTGTGGGGATACCTGCTGATTTCAGGACGACACCCAAACCCAGACTCTCCACTGGACCTCTTGTTCTCAGGTTCTCAAGTCCTCCCACCTGCTGAGCTGGGCATGTGTCTCCTGTCACTGCCCCGACCTCACCACGGGAAAAGGGACCAGGATCTGCCTAGCACCACACCCTCCCCACCCCCACACTCAGGACCCCAGCTGCTCCTTGCCCCGTGGTCCACCCTCTAGCACCTTGCCAAGCTGTTGGCATGGAAGGGTTGGGGAGACCCACAGGGAGCCCGGCAGGAGCCCTGGCCACACCACAGAGTGCCTGGGATGTCCCTATCTAGAAACTGAAAGCTTTCGAGGACAGGTGGCATTTTCATTTCTTCTTCTAGCTGAAGGTGATGCCTTTGAAAGAGAAAAGAAATACAGAAGTGAAGTGCTGCCCTGGCACGGGGTGAGCCTGCACTGAGGGGCACCCACACCCCCAGCACGGCTGGGATGCTGGGAGGGACGGTGGGAGGCCCTGAGCGGCCAGCTGGGCAGGAACTAGGAGGAGGCAGGGGTGGGAAGGGAGGTAACACCAGGATGCGGCCTGGCGGCTTCCACAGCCAGGATGGGCAGCCCGGGCCTGCGCACCAGGGTCCTGAGCATACCCCCTTCACTGGGTTCTCCCCTCAGGGAATGGGTCAGGTGAGAAGGACAGACAGGGCCACTGTCAGCTCTGAGGACACAGTGAGAAAGAAAGTTTGACTTCTTGACTCAGAAAGCAGATGACAGGGTTAGACAGGGAGAACCGGGGCAAAAAACTGAAAGTTTCAGAAGGTGGCAGGGGGCGTTCTGCGCGCCTCAGATGAATTCTCTTCCCAGAACCAACACCAGACCATTGAGTGGTGCTGTGTGAGAAACAGCCCAGGGCCGGCAGGCAAGCGTGGGCAGCACCTCCCCTCTGGGCGCGCTCGCTCCCCCTCCAGGACAGGACAGAGGACAGAGCCTCTTCATCCCCTACAGTGGCTATTCCTCTACCCCTGTGGTGGGGCAGGCGAGGCACTGGCAGGTGCAGGTGTGGCTGGACCCTCTCCAGCAGGTGCCCAGCTTCCCTTCCACAGACTGATGGTAAAATAGGGTTTCACGTGGGGGCGACATTATGAAGACTTCCCACCACCGTGGGAGATGCACACATCAAAGCCAAGCTCGAGGCCGGCACTGGTGGGACCAGAGGGTGACAGGCAGGGCGCGTGAGTGCAGGCACCTCGGCTGTAGCTGCTCGGCAGAGACGGCCTCAGGCCTAGGCACACCAGTCAGACGGGGTGCAGGGTGTCTGGGGACAACAGAAGTTTGGGGGATCATTGGTGGGACAGCAGAAAGGTCACAGAAACAGCTCACTTCCTTGCTTCCTGACTCCACCCCCTCACTCAAGGATTTCCTTTCCCTCTCAGGAGCTGAGCCAGGGACACTTCCCGGAGGCCCTTGCTGCTCACCTCTGCACAAGACGAACATCAGGCCTGGTGCGTCCCACCCCCAGCACTCTCGGCCCCCACCTGAGGAGGAAGCTAGAGGGGAGCAGGGGCAGGAGCTCGGCACTCCCAGGCCCCCAGAGCAGCGTGTGGGAAAAGGCCACAGAGCGCTGTCCTTACAGACACTGCATCCTCAAGGGACAGGGGCGCCAGCAAGGGAACAACTGAAGGAAGCTCACATCACTGGTCTGGGCACTGTCTGCCAGGGCCTCACAAGGCCCGGCCCAGCCCCACTCCACTGCCAGCCTCAGCCCCACACCGCTGACCCTGGCTGCCTTCTCTCTCCCCAGATGGAAGTTGAGATCCTGCTGCCTCAGGCAGCCTGTGTCTGTCCACCCTGTATGACCCCCACTCTGGCCTCGTCTCTGCTGCTTCCTCCTGCCGAGACCATGGAGTCTACACTCAAGCACCACTGCTCAAGCTGGTGCCCTCGGAGAGGCCAGGAAAAGATGCAACACACTGCCCGGAAAGCCACTGCCCAGGCTCGGCCACCCACAAGCCTAGCCCAGCAGGAAGGTTGGCCTGCACCTCTGGGAACACCTGCAGCAACCACAAAGGGCTGGGGCCTCGGCCTTCTCTTAACCTCCCGGGCACCTCTGTCTCCGCTCCATCCTCCTGGCTTTCTAACCCTCCACACCAGGATGGGAGAACCCTGTGCCAGCCTGGGAACCGGGCGGCCACAGCATGGGCTGCTCTCGGAGCACAGAGAGTCCCAGCAGCACTCCATCACAGTCAGAACGCCTCCTGCCCTTGCTCCTACTCAGCTCTTCCTCACACTACATTCCATGACATTTTATTAAAAGAAAGGCTGGGGGGCACTGCATACCCCAGAACCAGAGCTCATTCTCTACATTCTTGCCGGCCACAGTGACTGGAGGAGGGGTGTGGACCAATGGCCCAGAGCTCACCCTGTCCACCAGCCCCACTCCCTGGTCTCAGCTCCTGAGAAGTGGGCAATGCCTCCTGCCATGGGCCAGGCCTGTGACAGGGCGAGAGGCAGCCACTAGCCAGTGGCCACTGAGAGGTCTGGCCTGGAGTGCAGGTACCGGAGCTAACAGGAGGTAATTGGTAGGTGTTGGTGGGTGCATGGCCAGGGGCGGGGGGAACATCCCACAGGGCCAGGCCACCACTGCCAGCCAGGCCATTTATGCACAAGTATTTTATTTACTGACTGCTGATGAGGAACAGGCCAGCAACAATCACACACATTCTCACATGAAGGAGGGACACACAAGCACACAATCACCCCAAGACCTGCAGGGGGTGACCTAAGTTCAAGGGGGTAAACCTAACTGGGACAGCCATATACCTGCCCCTGTCGCCAAGACTGAGGAAGCAGAAGCCTCCGTACCTTCCTCAGCCTGTTCAGGATCTTGGCCAGCACACTCTGTGGACCGGAGCCCAAGGTGCTCTTGGGGTACCCATCTCAGGTTTTTTCCAGGAGTCACAGAAGTGGGATGTGGGCTGTCAATCACAACATCCCCACCTCAGGACCCAAGGCCTTCTGGGAAAGCTATAGCTAGCCAGCACTCTCAGTTAAGCAGAAAACCTTTCCAGATCATGCTTTATGATGAGAAATTGTTTCCTAACAGGAAATCCAGTTCTAGTTACTATGGACGGTGCTATCTGCATAGGTGTGCACATGGTCCCTACCAGGGCCTGTCGGCACCCAGATCCCATCTATTGGTCCTCACAGAAGGCTAAATGCTCCTCCCGGGGGTGAGCAGTGTGGAGGCAGATCTTTTCCCCTGGATAGAGGTTGAGGCTGGTGCCCAGGAGTTCAAGGCCCAGGGCAATGCATGAGCTGGGAGAGTACACGGGCAGACGCAGGGGGCTCTTGGGGAGACTGAATCCATCTCCTACACGTCTCTGCTTGAACATCGCAGCCTTTCTTCTACACCCTGTGGTCAGGTCTTGGGCCCTGTCTGGAGTCCTGAAGGCGTCCACATCTGTGATCCACATGACATCCAACCGTGGCCACTGCTCCTCCCAGGGTGCTGCTGAGGAGACACACCACCCTGTATGTCCGGGGGGGGGGGGGGTAAAGGACAGCCCACCACTCTCCCCTCTGCTCAGGGGCCACTCCACACCCACTTCTCAGGGCAGAAGAGGAAAGAGATCCACCCAAGACCACATGAGCAGGGGAAAGAAATCGACACGCACATCATCGTTTTGTGGGGTCCCAACAAGGTGGCTGGGCCAGCACCCCATTCCTACAGGCAGGACAAAGAACGCTCACGCCCTAGCCAAAGCCCCCTACCCTAACCCAGCAAGTGGGCTCTGTGGGGTGGCATGTTCATAGGTCTCCTCTAAAGCAAGCAGAGGCAGGGAGAAAGACAGGAAGGCCATGCTCCTACAGTCATTCAAAATATTCACCTCAGACCACACAGGAAGCATTTCGATGCCAAACGCACTTACAGGAAGATGACAGGCAAGCAGGAAAGGAGTGAGAAGCCATACCTCACAGCTGAAACAAGGGCCTCAAGAAGGCCTCTGCGCATTCCTTTCAGAAGCAACCTCGTATTTGCAAACACAGAGTTGCTGCTCCCCCAAAAAGGAATAAAAGAAAGTATATACATCTGCAGATGGCCCAATGCTCCTAAAAGCAATTATTCATGTAAACAAGAAGTGGAGTGCCTGCTGAAGCCAGAGGAGCCCAGTGAAGTCATAAAAACAGCAAACACACGTCGGGAAGGGATTCCCTGAGCCGGGCATGTCTCAGATGGGCTGAGAGCAGAGGCATGGGAGCTCCACTCCCAGGGGCTCCTCTGGTGAGGGCCGGGATGCGGGCCCTTCTGCAAGCTGGGTTTCTGTTGTGGTCAGACTGAAGAAGGCCTCTCTGCAGCGAAGCCTGTCATACACCCTGGGCCTTGGGAGCAGAGGGGGGTCATCTGGAAGGCTCTGGCCACCTTTGTCCCCGAGGTCCACTTTGGAAAGTCTTGCGCAGAGTACACTTGGACTGTTTGGGTGGAGTTGCTCAGTAGGACTGATGCAGCCACCTGTCGGTGCAAATCTCCAGAACTACTGCTATAAGACACAGGCCCAGACCCCACTTTGGCTTGTCTGGAACTGCTCTGGTCACCACTGACCAAGTCTTTCACCTTAAGGTTTCAGTTCACCTGCTTCTGCTAATTAATCTGGCCAGGTACAACCTGCTGGCTGGTGCCTGGGAAGGCTCAGTTACCTGGTAAACATCGAGGCTCACCTGAGATAGGGCTGCCATTCCCTAGTCTGAGCACAACTCCACGCCCAGCAACAGGGTCTCCATAGCAACAGAATGGATGCTCATGGAAACTCTCGGTCTGTACTGCCTTTCTGCAACTGGGGCTTGATTCATCCTCCAGCATCCTTAAGACTAGGATATCACACATGGAGGCTGAGACCACACTGCTCTGAGGTTTGCCTCAGGCGCTGTGCCACAGGATGGCTCTGGTGGGGAGGGCTGGCTCAGGACAGGCTTTAAGGATTGTGAGATGTGACCCAGAAGTTTGAAGAACTTTAGAACTTTTACAACTTTAGAACTGTCAGTTTCTTTTTTTTTTTTTTTTTAATGCTCAGTTTCTTTTCAAAAGGCAAACCAGCACAAAAGTCCATCCAGGTGCCCACCAGCAAAGCTCCAGGTTAAGCACACATCACACACACACACACACACACACACACAATCTGCACCCAAAGGTCTCCTCCTAGGTCCATGCTCATCTAACCTTCTGAGGTCACAGTGACCAGAAAGACCCGCTTCCCAGATAAAAGCCCTGGGGAAGGCTCGGCCTGTTCTGACTCCAAAGGTAGTGGCCTCATCAATACGCCATGCTGTCCATGCGTAAATAACAAGGCATAATCAAACAGAAAAGCCTTTCTGATTAAAAAAAAACCCTGACAGGCTCCCAAAGAGGGTTCCTAAATCACATCATCTATGGAGCCAAATGTCCACGGGGCTGGCCAAGAGGAGACCCAAGTGTACGGGGCTGTCAGGCTCAAAGTCCAAACACAAACCACTCAGCCCTGCACACCATGCGGAAGTGCTAGGCGCTGAACATACCACAGGACTCCCAAACATGGCTGTGCTTCGGACTCTGTTAATACCCTTCAATACATGCTGGTAGCTTTGAGGTTTTTTTCCTCCAACTCTAAATTGTTCACATACAAGTGAATCTGCATATATCCTTAAAAGAGGCCCTGGTAGCAGGACAAGTTTCTGTCTCACAAGAAATGCAAGCGTGACAAAAAAGCTGCTCAGCGCCCAGGGAGGGAGGAATGCCAAGGGCAAGAGGGCACCAACACAGCCCTCCACCCAGGAGCTCAACACCACCCTGGGGGACAGATACCTGACACACAATGCAAAACCCTGAGAAGCCTGGAACCTGAAAAAAGCAACACCAGGAACTCATGCTAAAATAAACCCAGCAGATCTGGACATTTTCTTTAGTGCTGGGCTGCGGTGCCCCACGGTCGCAGCAAATGGAGCAAGCACTGGTATGGGAGATACTTTCCCGCTCGGGCACACCTGGGGTTGTCAGTGGGGGCAGCCCAGCCCCTCTGGATGGCTGTACTGCAGACCCGGAGAGCCCTAGAAACAGGCCAGGGGTGGCTTTGCAGAGCAGCTCACAGAACATATCAGTCACCAGGGTGACCTGATTAGTTCTCCTGGTGAATGAAATGAAGGAAGCTGTTTTCTTGTGTTTATCCAGCTCCATGCTGGGTGGGTGACTCTACAAGCGGTAATTTAGGGACTTAAGGTTGTTAGGCAGAGCGGGGAAGCCCAGTAAGAGGCAAGGATGAGAACCTGCTGCCAGGCCGCAGCTCCCAGGGACACTCCCACCAGGACATTTCTACGAGAGCACAGGCAGGTGGGCACGAAGGAGGGCACAGCCAGAGGCAACCGGTCCAGGCTGCCTGCATGAGCAGCTGTGGGTTTAACCGAAAACAGAAGCATCACGTCACCTGCACTACGGTGCAAAGTGAGTTCACACGCTGACCTCTGGGGAGAAGGCTGGGCACTGTGTACAGAGGTCAGCCTTTGGGTTCACACACACTATCTGATGGTTTCTAGAAGCTCCACTTATGGACATCTGAGCACTCCAAGAGGAGAGAAGCAGCTCCCCAAAATTTTCCATGGAATATAATCAGCCTCAAAGCCAATAAAATGCTGGTGTGGTGTTTATGTAAGCACTCCCAGTCCCTGGACCCCAGCCAGGGCTCCCCGGCCTGTGGCTATGCCAGCTGTCGGCAGCAGGGGGGCCCTCCATGCTGCCCCCACCCTGCCTCTCCACCATCTAAAGAAAAAGTCAATGAATCACTCAGATGTTCCTCCTACAAAGGGAACATAAATGTTTATTAAGAAATTACAGGAACCAGGTCAGGCATTTTGGTATCTTAGTCATACTAGCTAATTACAAAAAAAAAAATCAAAATAGAAACCCATCCCAGAAACTTGAGACAATGAGAACTTCTCTAGCCACAAGCACTTGGAGCCTCGGCGCAGCACGGTTGTCAAGGCAACCCAGTGTTTACCTCCAGTTCTGCTGTGTGGGAGGACTGACTGTGACCAAGAACAGCCAACCAGGCCACCTCCTCCCAACACCCCTGGGATAGGTGCCAGGGTGTCCCCAGAGGGAGGAAAGAGGAAGCCACAGCCTCCCCTGTGGTGTCTCCTGGGCTGAGCCTCCATAGCACGAAGGTGAAGGGCCTTCATTCTCCTCTAGCCGCCTGGAGCCCAATTCCCCGGTGGCTTGTCCTGCAGGCTAGACACCCCCAAGGCAGGTTAGAAACAGCTGGGGTGCTGGGGCACAAGAGGAAGGGATGAAAGAAGGTGGCCCAGGAGAACCCTCAGCTGGGCAGCCAGAAAGCTTAGGCCCTGGCCATTCACCAGGCCACGCTAGGACCCTGCTCCAGGCCGCTGGCCCCTGGCCTGTGGAGGAAGAGTGAAAGATGGGCACTAAGTACCTCTGGCTTGGTTCCAGGGATCCTCTCCACCCTGAAGGCTGGTCATGCCACACTGCCAGGGCTGGACACACCACACTCCTGCAGGGCAGGGGCCTTGCAGCCTTGCAGCCATACAGCCCCCTGGGCCCCAGCGTTGGGAGCAACCTGCGTCACCTGGCCTGACGTCTTACAACTAACTGGCTTCCGTTCAAAGGAACAAGTGTCCTGAGTGCCAGCCACGAGGGCCCACGTGTACATACAGGGACCTGTATAGGCACCTCTACACACACGCACATAAATACATATGTGGCCACACACAGCACAGTACACACATAAATATCTGTCTTCTGGGGTCACAGGCAATGTTGAGCATGCCAAGAAATTCAAACCCTTGGCTCCTAATTCAGGGCAAGCAGAAAGAGCAAGGGAAGGAAAATAATATTTGAAAATTCTCAAAGGTAAATGACTGTGAGAATGGTACAATCTGTCCAAACCAAAAGGTCCAGCCCATCATCAGGGAGGCTTCAAAACAGAACCTGACCTGTGAGCAGCCCGGGTCGACTTTCTACGTGACCCTAGCACCTGGTGGTGGTAAATCAGGACAGCCAGCTCTCTGCTCAGCACCACGCAGCACTGCACCAGGGACAGGGAGCACTCAGGCTCCGCCTCCATCATCAGCCAGGCCCCACCACCAAGGAGACACTGCGTAAAATGCTAAGACTACATTTCAGCCTTGACAGAAGGGGGCCTTCGGCAAAGCCCCTCAGACTTGCCCATAGAATGCCCTAGTGCTGCGGGCCAAGCGGCACATAATTTTAGGAAAAAAGACCTGCTGTGCAAGCAGACAAGGGATGCTATGGAGAACAGAATACACCTGTGGGAACTGGCCTCAGCATGCAGGGCTGCGGGGGCCGGGGTCCCTGAGGGTCCTCGCGTGTGCTCTTCTTCCATCATGCTACTCATGCTAGGAGACTAACTGGATAAATCTAGCAGGGGGAAGACCCTTCCCAGGGTGAGACTGAAGCCATGGGACGGCGGGGGACCTGAGTCCCCGCCCACCTTGTGTAGGTCACGCCGCATACCTGCTAAGAGAGGACATGACACCACCAATTAC